CCATACCAACGTCACTTTTTCCTACCCCCGTACGTGATCAAGCCTCCACGAGAACAGTTTTTTGAAAAACAGAGGACACAAAATACAAAACTGGCCGGTGCTGCACTTATCAAACCAACCGGCCTCCAGAGGTACGTTCACGGGGGGGGTAAACCTGCGAGATCCAAGATCCCCAGGGACCTCCCACCACCTTGGCGAACCTGGCCAAGGAACCGAAGAAGAAGAAGAAGAAGAACAGACCGGCACTCCACGTCGACGGGCGGCAAGGGTTGGCGACGGGCGACGGGCGACTCGACGACGACGGGCGAGTGAAGCTCCCAGGCGATGGCGACGAAGGGCAGCTACTTCGACGACGGACGACTCGACGACGAACGCAGGCGGCTGGAGCAGGTATCGAGGCCCCGTCTGGACAGCCAATGCAGGCCGCCCCAGCCCGTCGCTTGTTCAAATGGGGCCTCCATTTTCCCTCCAAAAACAAACGGCCCTCTGGCTGTCGATCATGGATGATCGACGGCCGGAGGGCCGTCCCAAATTAAAAAAAAAAAAAATAGGCCTCACGGGCCCAACGCGTCGTTTTCTCGGCGTGGTCGGACCCGGTAGGCCCTGGGGAGGCGAAATCTTGCCTATTCGGGGTCGGAAACCCCCGCCAACAAGGTGTGTTGGGGGGACCCGGCCCCCAACCGGGCCACCCGCCCGGCCAGGCCACCCGGGACCTCCCCCGGGCAGGCGCCGGTCGGCCAGGCGGCCTGGATCCGTACGCAGAAAAAAAGAAAAAAAGAAAAAAAGTTGGTGCGCGGGCTGCAGACTTGCTTTTTTTGTAAAATAGGCCGTGACTGTAAATAAGGTCTGACATAGATTGTGCAGCTGACTCTGACTGACTTCCTTAGGCCATATATGATCGATTGCTTGGGCCTGACTGGCCGGTTATTGCTTCCTGTGCTGTGATTTTCTGTAATTTTTGCTCTTCTAGCACTTCCCTGACTTCTTGCCTCGGCTACTGCCTCACTCTTTCGTCGTTATTAGGCTCAAAGTTACAGTGGTACTAAAATTTTCTGAGCATTTGCTGTTTTGTCGGTATTTTGAGTTTGTTGGCGACCATACGTAGGCTGCAGAATTGCTTTGTAGGATAGACTAGAAATAGGATGTGACATAGATTGTACAACTGAACCTGAGTGAGCTGTTTTGGCCGTATGATCGATCTCTCGGGCCTGCTAAGGGCCTCGTTCGACACCACTACAAAACCCTTACTTTGTAAGGGCGCCCTTACGACGAAAAAGTGATTAATTTTCCCTTACCCCATTTGTCGTTCCACAGCCACTTACGAAAACCCTACACTTAAGCGCACTTACGTTTCAGGTGCCTCCGTTTGGGTTTGAAAAGGCCAAAAGAGGATCCTGACAAGGTCGCCATGCCGACAGGACGTCGGCTGCTGCAGGTGACTCGAGCATTCGGAGCGAAGGGGTTCCCTAATTGCTTTGGCACCATCGATTGCACGCACGTGTACGTGGACAAGCCCGCCAACGCACCGTCAGAGAACTACTACAACAGAAAACAGCAGTTCTCGGTCGTCGCCCAAGTCGTCGTGGACCTGGACATGAGGATTCTTGATGTCTTCATGGGGTACCCTGAAGCCTCCACGACCAGCAGGTGTTGAAATTTTTTTCCCTGTTCCGATAATATGTGGAGGCGAGCGAGCTATTCAATGCGGAAGCGGGGCAGTTGCTTGGAGGGGTGTCCACGACAGGGTATCTGCTCCGGGACAATGTCTCCATGGACATGGATGGTCGTCCCATACGGAATGTCCGATCAGGCAGGGGACATCAGCTTGTTTGACACACAGCAGAAGACGACGAGAGGAGTTGTGGAGAGGGTTTTTTTGGGCGATTGAAGGGGATGTGGAGGTTGTTCCTTCGTCATCACAAGACGAACATGGACAACCTCCCTCAGCAAATCGTTGCTGTTTGTATCATCCACAACCTCTTGCTTAAGGCCGACATACCGGTCGATGAGGCTGTCCTACTAGAGCCGGATGAGATTGGGAATCTAGTTCATGTCGATCTAGGGTTGCAAGATCTGCCACAACCCATGTCACAATCGGGCGCAACTAACGCTGCCCTAGCTTTGCGTCACAATTTATGTATGCGAATGCTGCATTGAATATCCATTTACCATCCGTTTATTATCACACCCCATGTCTGTACATTTTTCAGAAGTGTACTGTTACCGTAGGATGTAGCCGTCGCTGGTCAATCCTTCTCCTCAGAGAGAAGCAATCAATGCTGGTTGTGTAGGGTTCGTAGAAGAGTAGGTGCGCCCTGTGCGCTCGAGAAGATGGCCTACGACCAATTACGGGAATATCGAACGTTGTTTCGATTTCTTGTTTTGAAGAACAATTAATGGGTTCCCGTTGCAATTGAGTTTTCTTTTATAATGTTATCATTCGTTTTGTCAAGTTCTTTTACATTTCTATCTCACCCGGTATGTATGCATTCATTAGTCTGTTCGTGTGCACATTATTTCTTACTATGTTGTGCTCGATGCATGAACAACAAAATGTCATTGCGAAAACACACGCTTGTCAGTGCTCGTCAATCCTTTTGTAAATTCCCCTCAGCCATGAAGTTGATGAGCATAATGTCGGTGTCACTGAAACCCCTGTTTTTCTATTGTTTGCTTAAAAAATGATAAAAAATTGTCAACCATAACCCCACCAAAAAGCACTGCAACGCACAAGTACATGGCGATTACAAACTTCAGCACATGCCCAAAAGTCGTTCACAATTCAAATCGACGGTAAAAAACAAACAGTGAGAAAAAAACAAATTGAAAGGTCCGATTCGCCTCGTTTAGGTCCTCTTCATGCCATGTTCATGAACCGATATTGTTGTGTGCTACTCTACATCACATGGCTAAGACTGATGAACACATTAAACCATCGTAAAGAAACAAAATGTTGCAAGAAGAAAACGACTACTCCACTTTGGTCGTCCTCTCTCTCTCTCTCTCTCTCTCTCTCTCTCTCTCTCTCTCTCTTCTCTCTCTCTCTCTCTCTCTCTC